TTCCTTCCTTCCTTCCTTCCTTCCTTCCTTCCTTCCTTCCTTCCTTCCTTCCCAGTTTTGGTTGTCACGATGTAAAAATGATGTTGAGACTCTAGAAAAAGTGCAGAGAAGAGCAACAAAGATGATTAGGGGACTGGAGGCTAAAACATATGAAGAACGGTTGCAGGAACTGGGTATGTCTAGTTTAATGAAAAGAAGGACTAGGGGTGACATGATAGTAATGTTCCAATATCTCAGGGGCTGCCACAAAGACGAGGGAGTCAAACTATTTTCCAAAGCACCTGAGGGTAGGACAAGAAGCAATGGGTAGAAACTAATCAAGGAGAGAAGCAACTTAGAACTAAGGAGAAACTTCCTGAGTTAGAATAATTAATCAATGGAACAATTTGCCTCCAGAAGTTGTGAATGATCCAACACTGGATGTTTTTAAGATGATGTTGGATATCCATTTGTCTGAAGTGGTGTAGGGTTTCAAGCCTAATCAAGAGGTTGGACAAGAAGACCTTCAAGGTCCCTTCCAACTCTGTTATTCTATTATTCTATTAAGTAAGACTTTTCCCTTGACCATCTAATTTATAACAGAAACTTATAAAAAAGTCTTCAAATAATTAAAATTTAAGAGCTATTATTCTTTGATTCATTTCTCTGGATATTTTTCAGATATCTAGTAGTGAATTTTGAGTCTTTCTGACATCCCAGAAAAATGCTGCTTAGTTTTATATAAACTATTTCATTGTATTTGATATATTTAATAATGCAACAAAGTCAAAAGTTATATCACCTGACTTAACAAGCAAAAAAGACGCCTACAATTGAACAAAAGTACTATACTTTGTCATCCCAAAGATGCTTTTTCAAGAGGCAACTGGACTTTTTGGTTTTTCTTTGAATACATTTTGCTTCTCATCCAAGAAACTTCTTCAACTCTGGCTAGATTGTGGGGAATGTAAGAATTTTATACTCCTTGCAGACAGCTGGTCATTTCCATTCTTTTAATGAGTTGTTAGGGCTACCTGGAGATTTATCTGTGTCATCAGGGTTACCTGAGCAGTGTAAATGAGTGTGGAACCTTCTTGGAATTGTTGAAAGGACTATGTTGTAGACTAGAAATAGATGATGTCATATTCCTCCCCCACCCACAGAGCGAAGATTGTTCAATTTTGACATATATGACCAGCGGTCCTTTCTGTCCAAATTGTGGATTTTGCTGTGTTCCAAAGAGTGGCCTTTGTCTTTTAAATGCAAATGGACTGTGAATCTAGTCCTGATGGGTTTATTCTCCTATGTTGTTCCATGTGTTTATAAAGTGGTTGTTTTATTTCCCTGATATACAGATCTGCACATGGATCACTGCATTGTACTGCATAAACCATGTTTCTTAGTTTGTGCCTGGGTGTTTTATCCTTGGGATGGACAAGCTTTGACTTTAGTGTGTATTCTTGGGTTTGAAGTGTGCACATAGGTTGTGTTGGCTGAAGATCTCCTGGAGCTTTTCCAATATTTCTGCAATGTATGGAATGACAACGTTGCTTCATTTATTGTTCTCTTTGTTGTCTGTTATGGAAGAGCACCTGTAAAGTCCCTGTATACACCCCCCCCACACACACACCTACCTTTTGGAGACAACACATCTAGCAGACTCTCCTGAAACAGAATCAGTAGGAGAGCTGAATTTAATCTTAGATGCCATTTTGCTAGAATTCAGTGTCCATGCACTGGCTTCCATCATCTATAAATGTATTGCCTACTATAATTTCTACATCTAGAGGCAATAGATGTAGAAATTATAACTCAAGGTGACAAACATACCTAATATTCCTTTCTCCTCCTATTTTCTCCACAATAACAATCATGTGAGGTGAGTTGGGCTGAGAAAAACTGAGTGGCCTAACGCTACCATTAACAAACCTCCTACGGCATGTCCTGATATTCTCAAGATTTTCATTATGTTCTGCCTCTTTAGGTTCACATTTCTTTTTCTTCCCACACTGATCTGTGGAGTTCAGTTTCTTATCTGATTCATTCTCTCCATAGTCACACACAACAGAACAAAGTAATAGCTATGTATTAATTCAATGGAATGTTAATATCCAGATGCATATGGAAAGAAACCTAAGGGTCAGGTTTCCATCACATGATTTCCATTGCTACCTTTTTGTTCCTAGGGAGGATGTTGAAACTAATTACAGTAGAGCTGGAGCATAATTAGTTAAATATCAAAAAGTTGTCTATGTTGAATCTTTAACTAAGATACACACGATAATGAAATAATTTCCATATTTGTTATGATAAGATTATACTAACATTGAATATTCTCTATTGATTGTCCAACTTCATCAGGCACAACTGCATCAGCTATATTCACTGTATTCAGCTAAAAAGCAGAAATGAGAGTAATTATACTGTAATAGATAATATTAGGTAAACATCACATAACTTACAAATGGTAAACATAACTAAGAGCTGGATTTCCTTAAAATCATGAAATGAATGGAAGATTACAGTTACAAAGCCAAATATTAAAATAATTTTATAAGAAATTTTGGGAAGTTCCCAATCAAATGAAATCTCTTGAATCTTACACAAATAGAAATAAAGCATAATAAAATCAGGCTGTGAATCCTGTTTCTAATTGTAGTCACCATAAGAGTGTTGGCTAAACAGGCAAAACTGGGAAGCTAGAAAAGAAAGTACATTGGAATATGCTTACAACAAAACAAATAGAGGTTCGTGGATTGCCAAAGAAAGGAAAGTAGAATAGAATAGAATAGAATAGAACAACAGAGTTGGAAGGGACCTTGGAGGTCCTCTAGTCCAACCCCCTCCCTAGACAGGAAACCCTATAACAGGGATGGTGAACCTATGGCACGCGTGCCACAGGTGGCACATGGAGCCATTTGTCAGGACATGCGAGGAGTTGCCCTGTCAGCTGGCCAGCGCACATGTGCACACTGGCCAGCTGAGTTCAGCTTTTTTTAAAGCCATTTTTCACCTTCCCCAGGTTCTAGAGGCTTTATAGGAGCCTGGAAAGGGCAAAAAGAGCCTTCCCCACCCCTGGAGGCCCTCCAGAGGCTTCAGGAGCTTCCCTGAAGCCTCCAGAGTGCAAAAAACCAGCCCTATGGGCAATCCGGAAGTTTGGGAACGGACTTCCGGTTTGCTCGTAGGGTCATTTTTTGCCCTCCGGAGGTTTCAGGGAAGCCTCCTGAAGGTCCCTGAAGCCTCCGAGGGCCTCCGGGGGGGGGAGGCTGTTTACACCCTCCCCAGGCTTCTATAAACCCTCTGGAGCCTGGGGGAAGGCGAAAAAAGAATGCAAAAAATGGGGGGAGTGCCTTTCATGTGCGCATGCGCACTGGGGGGGTCACGCATTGCAGTATTCCAAGTGTGACCTCACCTAGGCTTTATAAAGTGTTTGCATATTGCTGATAAAAATAGAGGACACCCAACAAAAAAGTAAACTACCTGGGAAATAAACAGGAGAAGAGCAGCAACTTAAAACTCAGAATCCTGCATTTAAAATAATTGTAACCGTTTAAATTGAGGATTTTAAAAGTTAAGCTAAATAATAAATAAAGCATTTCCACCTTTTGAAGAAGAATGTGCTGGGTTTGGTGAGTTATTAAATGAAAAAATGAACAAAAAACTCAGTAAAATCTAAATGATAAATTAGTAAACTAAATGTAACTACATTTTGAAATAAAAATATCTCAATATCCTACTACATTACTGTGTACTCACTGTATATAAATCCTGCATTTCTGAATTAATACCAAGGCTTGGATCTTTTCTTTTAGCTCTTTTGATCCCAAGTTTAGCAAATCCTCTTACTACTGATGATAATAATCCATCTGACCATTCCATTGTACTAGGATTTGTCTGTCCAAAGAGTTCATCAATAGTAACACACTTTGGGTTTACAACAAAAGTATCCACTTTGCTTCTCTTTGGATTACTCTGAGATAGAAAAAAAATCCTTCTAAATATGCAATTATTACCTTTATTTCCTATTAATAGAAACCCATAAAAGGGTTTGTGTATTTTGTGTACATGTGTACACCACATGGCCAGGAAACACTGCAACATTTTTGCTGCAATTTGGTTCCTGAGCATCCGAATCATAATCACATGACTGACACTGCAATGGCCCCAACTACAAGAACCCATCATAAGTCTCCCTTATTTAGCACCATGTTAAATTTGAATGATCACAGAACCTACTAAAGTCTTCTTCAAATCAAGTATGATCTTTGGTGATTTGATGAACACATATAAGTAATCTTCTGAAAACAGCATGGACATATTTTGCCATTGCTTTCTTCCTGAATAATTTTTTTATTTCTATTCAACATATTGTCCTGTAATTTCTTGGCATGCTCCCATTCAAGTATCAACCTAAATCAAAGCTTCCTTGGCTTTCTGAAATTAGTGAAAGTTGACTGACTACTGCCAATGCTTTTTGTTTTTACTATTCACTAATTTCCAATTCTTGGCAACTTTATAGGGACGCACTCTCCATGCTAACCTATCAAGCACAGCTTCTTTCAATGTTGGATGTTCAGCTTTCTGTCAGAAATCTTACCAGAACACTTTATGGCAATACCTTAACATGACTGCCAACTACTCATTGTTTAATAACTAGTAAATATTTAAAATTTCAAAGTTCATATGGATTATCGCTCTGAAAGGTTACAGGAAAAGAGATCAATTACTAATACATACCATAAGAGTAACTTAAAAAAATTCCTTACCTGAAAAACATCAAGTTTGGAAGCACTATCCGTATCAACTAATGGAAAGATTATCAAGGCTTTTTCTAAAATTGTTCTGATGGTAGTTTTTCCTCCACCTGTGGGGCCTACAAGCATCACACCACCACGAGCCTGAAAATGTATTTTAAAATATCAAATCTGCAACATTCATATTCCTTAGATGATTAATGCTTAGATTTTAGTAAATACAAATTAAAGGTCTTACAAAGTGTATGTTTATAAGCTTTTGTTGATGGGGATTTTGTACTCCTCAATTGCTGCAACATGTCAGGCTCAAATAACCAAGAATGATTATATAGTTATTTCTGAATAGTCCCTTTATTGTTATTCGTCTACAACAGAATCTTACCAGACTAAAGCAATTACTTGTAATAACTATAGATACAGTTTTAAATTGCTAGGGAGGCTTCAACTTTGTTCTCTTCCTGTTGATCAACTATTCCAAGCTCTGATGTCTCTCTGCTCTCTGGGAAAGAGGCCCTATCTCCTGCGACTCCTGACTACATTCCACCATAAACATCCATTTCTAGCATTTAGTGAAATACAATTCCTGTAATGTAACATCTCACTATAAAGTTTTGAGTTCTACATATTTGTATCATATTTAACCTCCATATCATATTTTACCCAACTGTCCCGCTGCACTCACCATAAGCTGATTGTATAGTTGTATAACCTTCTCTATTTGATTTTCCCAAGGCTGCAAAGATAAATGCTGTATTGCAAGAGATATTGCACTCTATTTAAAAAACATAAACAGATGGTTAGAAGTTTGATGACTGATCAATAATTTGACAATATGTAAAATAACCAAATGTTAGTATTAAGGAAAAATATAACTATTCTGGAAACATTAGGGGAAAAAATTAAAGAGGCACAATCAATTTCATTGTCTTGACATTGAGTATACCTGAACGTACACCTGAATATGCCTCATCTTCCCTGAATATCTGTCATTTTTTCAAGATAGGCCAAGTGACGACACCAATTTACTGGTATTCCAGGCATACTGCTTTACTCTTTTAGCATATATTAATGGGATCCTTAAAGTCTGTCTACCTTTTTCTCTGTCCCATTTTATCCTAAAATCAAGGCAGAGTTATTCTGAGTTTCTTTCTCCCACTTCGTCCTATCTCTGGATCTTGTCAACTCTTGTCCAAGTCCCCCTTTGATGGCTCACGCATACATACACAAAGGTCAGCTCTAAATTCCTTTACAAAATCGCTGAAACACTCAAACTGAATGGATAATAACAATAAAAAATCCTAATTTCAAAAATATTTTTCCATAGCTAATATCAACAATAATTATTCTTATTTTTATTACCTCTAATCGTTTAGGATTTACTTTTGGAACTTCCATTTCTGTAAAGAGATCTCTGATAATATGTTCAAATACTGGAACATCCTCAGCAATTAACTTTGGTAAATTCACTTCTTTCAGTATGTCAATTGTGATTAGAGTTTCTTCTATTGCAGGAAACCTTTTTTTATTGTATCTATTATACAAGAAAACTAATAATTAGAATTTCATGAGTTATTCTCTCATACTGTTTTCATTAACCCACCCATGCTGCACTTTTTAAGGAGATATTCTTATATGCATATTTTTGATCATATATTGCTAAAGTTGTGTATATTATTGTTATTGTGCTTCTTTTCCTATTCATATTAGACTGAATTGTTGTCATGTTCAAAACAAACAAACAAGTAAAAATGTTCATCTACAAATGAAAAAAATTAATTTGTGTGGTTTGTAAATAAACATGGCAAAAAGGACCCGGAGAAACTAAATTTACACCAAATTGTATGTAGAAGATTACCACTAATGTGGATATAAATATGTCTATTCTAAAGTAAAAATTAATACATTATTTTATTAATCCATATACTTCAATTTTTCCCTTATATTTAATCGCACAATGGCTAATTAATTGTCAGTCAAAGCTCCTTCCTTCTTTTCTGCCTCCTCCCTCGGTAGACCTTACAAATTAAACATTATTCTATGATATGACAGAACTATAATTTGAATGCTTTGGAAGTCAGAAACAAAACTGATCAAGAAATTTAATTTCATGGATAGTTTTTGCTGGTTAATGAATGTAGATATTCCCATAGGAATATTTAGAATTTTGGTAATTTAGGTTGCACTTCTATGAGACAATAAGTCCTTCTGAGTATTGTTAAGCATGCATAGATAAATCTATTGAATTTAGTTTTCTTTCTCTAAAAAGAAATATAAATAGGATAACAGTAAAACAGGTCTCTCCTCTATTAAAAACATGTCTTTTTATAAAACCTGTAGATCACAAATTGAGATATAATAATGTTCTATCTTTAATATAAACCACTTAAGAAAACTTACTGTAGTTTCAACTCTTGACGCCTTTGACCAACTCTTATTAATACAGTTTTTATAGCTCTCATGCCAAAATCATAATGATCCTAAAAATAAGATAAGAACAGAATTTATTTTTGTGCACTGCAGATATCTTCTTTGCAATTATTAAATAGCATGTTTTTCAAAATTATCATCAATTTAACTAATTTGATTTCCAACTGAACTCTTCCAGAGCTAATGTATAATTTGTCCCATGGCAATCATGCTGATTTAGAGTATAGTATATTCGTTATTAGTTTCTTGTCAGGAACAAATAATCTCCTTTAGCTTTGAAGTTTTCTGAGGCTTTCTCTACCCTGCTTGATAGCTGCTCAGGTGGGTTTCCAGAGGAAACCTGGGATAGATCTCAAAGCTCTGGTACAAGGTTTGGCTGATGTTTTAACTGCTGCTTTAAATAAGCAGGTAGTGGAGGCTGGTCAAATAAGCAGGTAGTGGAGGCTTGTAAACTATGCATGTGGATCCCAGATCCCTTCTTGGAACTGCCAAAAGGGCTGTATTGTAAGGAATGTGTCCTTTCAGTGATTCCAAGAAGGTTCCACACTCATTTGCACTATTCAGGTGATCTTGAGAGCACAGATAAACCTCCAATGGGCCTCAATGACTCTCAGAGTGAGTACTAATGACCAGATGACTGCAAGGAACATAAATCCTTCAACTCTCCACCATTCAGTCAAAACTGAAGAAGCTTCTTGGATGAGAAGCTAAAAGTCTTCAGGGAAAAACAAAGGAAGTCCAATTGCCTTTTGAAAAAGCACCTTCCTTCCTTCCTTCCTTCCTTCCTTCCTTCCTTCCTTCCTTCCTTCCTTCCTTCTTTGCTTCCTTTTTGGTATGAATAGAAACACCATGCCAAAATTGCTGAGGGAAGGTAAGAATTAAAGCGCTACATCAGATCAAAATGCATTTAACTTCAGCATTTCGTTTCTCACAGTAGTGCAAATATTTCAGGGCTGCTTCCAAGCAGAAGATGGAGACATAAGCAGTTCTCACTATTGTATCCTAAAGTCAGAATTTACAAGCACACTACTTCCAGACTGGAAGTAACACTAAGTTATCCTGGATAATTTGTCTTTCATGAATTTATCTAATTTCTCTATGACCATCATGATAATTTGTTAGAATAAGTTCCACAGATTAATTATGCACTATGCAAAGTATTTTTTTGTTTTTTTCTAAATCACCTTCTAATTAGTTTCACTGATCACCTTTGGTCTTAGCATTTTGAGAAATGGGGAAAAATTCTCTCTGTCTACTTTCTCTATGTCATGATGATTTTAAATACCTCAATAGTGTTTCCCCACTAGTCATTTTCTTTCCAAATGTTCTAGCTTTTTCAGATAAAAAAACAAAGCTCCTTGAGGCATACTGAATTATTTTTATTTATTTTATTTTATAGATTTTTTAATACCACTGTTATTACTTTATAAGTAACCTGGGGCAGCAAGCTTATATAAAGCTCATCCTCTTCCTATTTTCCCACAACAACACTCAATGAGATGGGAGCCTAACTGGCCCAAAGTCATCAGGTGGCTTTCATGCCTAAGGTAGGACTAGAATTGTAGTAGATGATCAGGCTGAGCCCAGGGGCAAGGTTAAATCTCTGCAGAGTCACATGAGATCCAAGTCTAGCCCATAAATTTTGCTGACCTAGTGCCAATTTGATATCTAGCACCATTAAGGTTTAAATGTTTTCCCAGTCCAGTCATGATAGACTCAAGGGGACAAGGCTCATCTTTGATTCTCGGCTGAAAGAGCCTTCTAGGTTAGTAAGATCTGGCATTAGTAACAGGAGTCACCACATTGTGCAGTGCTAGGGTCTCAAACCTGGGTTGTCAGCTTTCTAACTGACAAGCTCAGGATCTTAATCACTGAAACATCATGCTGCTTGATGTGACCATTAATAGACCAGAATCTTGTCTTTAGGTGGCATGTAATTAACCTTTAATACTTTGAACTCAACTCAGGCTCCTGGTTTCTAGGTCAGGACCTTAACCATTACACTAAACTGGTTGTGCACTTTCCCCAGCTCTATTATATGCTCTTTTATTTATGGCTACTAGAATGGTACACAATGTTCCAGGTGCAAATATAATTTTGTAATACTGTGATTTTTATTTTCAATCCCTTTTCTAATGTTCTCTAACATGGAATGTGTTCTGCACCCTTTGACACTCACTCCTTCACTGTAAAGTCAAAATCTTATTTGTTAGGAAAGAAAAACACTATAAATGAATGGCTATATAGGCTAAGGAAAGATTTGCTGTAGGGGACCATGATTTGAGTTAGCTGGATTATAGATTGCTACCATGAGATGGATTGTACGTAAAAAGGATTGGTTAAAACATGATTGGTCAAAGAAGGGTAAGCTGCACAGTAGCTTTAAATTAAACCAGGGTTGGATATTAAATCTCCTATTAAGCACTTGTGTGAGGAATGTTAATGATCTGAGGTTCAAAGATATTTGGAAAGAGTTTCATTAGATATATTCAAAACAAAATAAAATAAAAATATGTATTAATTGTTTAATTAAGATGACAAAGTGCTAACAATCTTTCAGAAAAGGCAGTGCTACACAAGTCCTGTTTGGTTCAGTGATATCTATCTGTTCTGACCCCCTACTCCGTCCAGTAACGAAAGCCGAAACAAGCGTAAAATGAAACATCCTTTAATAACAAGACCAGAATCTTGGTGGCTGAAAGCCAAATAAACAAACAGATAAGGACCTTGGCAGCAAGTCCGACAAACCTTGGCAGCAA